CTAAAGTTTTATAGAGGAAATGTAATACTCCAGATAAAAATCAAATTGAAGAAGTAGATATGAAAGTTTCATGAGGAGTATAGCAACAGATTCTAAGATGACTTATGATTACCCCCATCTCCTAGTACTCACACCCTTGTTTAATCCCTTCCTTTTGAGTTAAGAAAGAACCTATGATTTGCTACTAACCAAGAGAATACAGCAAAGGTACGTCACTTGCATGATTCTACTACATAAGGTTTTAACAACCGTCTTACTAGGAGACTTTCTCCCTAACTGGCTTTGATGAAGCAAGTAGCCATATTGGGAGGTTCACACAGAAGGAACTGAGGGTGGCCTCTAGCCAATAGCCAGTAAGAAATTGAGGCCCTCAGTCCATCAGCCTCCAAGAGTCTGAATCCTGCCAACATCCATGAGCTCAGTAGTGAATCTGCCCCACTCAAGCCTTCAGATGAGAACCCAGCCCTAGCTGACACCTTGAATGCAACTGTGCTAACTCCTGACTTACAAAGCTGTGGAATGACAGATAAGTATCTTTTTAAGCCACTAGGTTTGTGGCAATTTGTTATGCAGCAATAGATAACAAATATAGAGGAAGTATAAGAAAAATAACACTGTAGAAAATATGACTATGGTTCTAATTATCACCACTAAAATCTAACAATTGATTTTATGCTAATGGGCCATTTAGGAAAGATATTGTAATGTGTTTCTAAAAAGTCTAAGAAATAGGGGTTAGGGGAGAGGGGTCATCCTTTACCTTCTTCCTGTGGAGAACCAGGGAAGGGCTGTTGAACGCAGCTGAGCTGCTGAGGGATCTGCAAACCTGACACTAACAGAGCTGGTGTGTGTCAGCCAAAATACCAAAGAAGAGTGAAACCAAAGGGAAAAGCAGATTGGCAGGTATGGGGAGTTAAGAGCAAGAGCTGGGAAGCGAGAGAGAGAGAGAGACAGACAGACAGACAGAGAGATAGAGAGAGAGAGAATGCCAGATGGGCAGTGGGAGGATCCCAGAGCAGATGTCTGAGACAGAGAACGGCTACTCCCAGAAGGAAGGCCTGGATGGCTAAGGTCAGGGCCAGTGGAGACAAAGTCATTTATGTGTGGGTATTACTAGAATATCAAGCCTTTTTAAACCTCAAAAATGAGCAGCCAGAAATTTTTCAGGCTTATAAACATCATTGAAGGGGCTTTCATAAAACTTCAGAGCAGGAGGGCATTAAACTCTGAGAAGTAAGGCAGGCAGATCACTTGGCATCAGGAGTTTATCAGCCTGGCCAACACAGTGAAACACTGTCTCTACTAAAAATATAAAAATTAGCTGCATGTGGTGGCAGGCACCTGAAATTCCAGCTACTCAGGAGCCTGAGGCAGGAGAATCCCTTGGACCCGGGAGGCAGAGGCTGTAATGAGCCTAGATCGTGCCACTGCACTCCAGTCTGAGTGACAGAGCAAGACTCCATCTCAAAATAAATAAATAAATAAATAAAACTCTGAAGAGGTGCCTTGCAGCAATATCCACCCAGTGCTTCAGTTATCCATCCGTCATTCCTGAAAGGGGTAGGCCACGAAGCCCAGAGAGATTGCCAAATGCACATCAGCAGAGAAGTGCACAGAACCCTCTAGGCTCTTAAACCAAAGAGGTAGCAGTTGTAGCCCCTTTCAGAGCCCAGCACTGAACTCTCCCAAGGTTTCTACAAGTTGTGTGTGTGCATGTTTCACAAATCCACATGCTCGTGGTACAAGTACACTTGCACAAAACAATAAGCATTGGGGAAGAAAACATGATTAATACTTCTATTTAAAATCTGAGTTCTGCACCTTTGGGTGCTTGTCCTACATTCTCTTCCCTAGTCTTACATTTAATTTTATATTTCTCATGTACAAAAAAATGGAATCACTGACTGGGCACCCTGCTTCTGAGAGTCAGATTGTTCTCACAATATGAGGAACACCCTATGTGAGGGACACGCCATGGGAAGGATTTTATAGCAGGTAAAGGGACAGACACTTCTCAATGCATATGATGTGCCAGAAACTCTGTTCCATCTCTTCTACTCCTTGTAATTCCTCAGAGCGGAACAACCTAAAGCCTCTGGGAAGTTAAACAGTTTACCTGTTACCCAGCCACTGAGTGTCAGGGCCAGAGTTCAAACTCAGGCACCTCTCTTCCACCATACCACATTCAGTTCATCAATCTTTTGAAATTTCTACTGAGCTAAGCCAATTGAAAACTTCCTTGTAATTGCTAGATTATGTTTATGATGGTCTTTTGAATTAAGTATATAAACCAGGGGCATTTTCATGCAGGGTGGGTAAAATCATTTTATGTCTCTTAACCTTTGCTCCATTGTGAGTAAAACTATAGAATGTGACTTATTATAGTCCTAAAGTTAGAAGCCAGAAGAATATATTCTCACAATAATAATGGGGTGATATCCATCTGTAAATTTAAACTACGTAAAATCAGATATGTATAATCCTTAATGGAAGGATGACAGCTGTGCATAAAAATTTTATTTGTAATATGTGCCTCAGATGCATCTCTAATCTACTAGAAAGCACTATAGGTGAGTTTGATTATCATCTTCATATACAGATAATTATTAAATGGCATGATATGTATCTTATCCATTCATAATACTAATAATAGTATATAGTAGTTAATGACCAAATAATAGTAATAGTAGTTAATGACTAAATAATATCTTAGTAACCTAAAAGGACAAATGTCATCCAAATGTACTATACTCAGGAGAAGGGAAGGTTTATTCCTCACAAGAGATCTGTCCCATTTCTATTATAAAACATATAGACAAAGTTCTACATACATTTAGAAAGTCAGATTGGTCAAGAAAAAGCTTCACTAGGTTTACCAATTCAAAGATGCATGCTGAAGTGAAAACATAGGAATTCTATTCATACAGTGTGAAATTATTTATGCTGATTTACTCTTAGAATGATTTAATAGGATAATATCAACTGGGTAAATCAGTCGAGAATACTGTCGCCATAACCATCTTCATGTTTTTTTCTAGAATTTAATTCTTGCTCTAAAAACAGGAGGAGCAGTTTAGAAAACAAAACGAGAACACGCAGACCTTTTCTTCTACACTGTTTGTAATTACCCAGGCTTAGTCAGCTCTTCAAACTTAAAACAAGTACACAGCCCATGTATGTCAAATCAGTACATTCCCCAGAACTCTGCTTTCTATAACATTAATCATCTCCAAATGCTGTCATCTCTTATTGCAGAATTGCTATCGAAGTCTGATACCAGCACGGGGATTATGAGGAGAGAAGCACGCACAGAGGGGAGTGAAGCACCATGATGTCTTGGATTTGCCTTCAAAATGCTTCTTCCAAAAAGGTGGGGGTGGAGGTGGAGGCAACAGGACCGGTGAAATACTAGCACTAGTTAAAGCTCTGTGACCTGAATACTGGGGTTCACTATACTATTCTCTCTTCTTGTATATATGACATTTTCCCTAATGAAAAGTTTGGCTAACATTATCACTTCACAACAAAATCAGGAGTCCAACATTATTTATTTCAAAAAATAAACTCAGTGGTATTAGACCATAAAGCCTAGAATATAGAATATCTCAGTGCTTTCACTTATAAACTCCCTCTTCCCCAAATCTGCAGAAGAGCTACAAGAACAGCATAAGGAACTCCTAAATTCACCAAATGCTAACCTTTGGCTACATTTGCTTTCTCTCTCATGTGATACACATATAAATATCAATGCACACTTACATGCATGTATCCTTTTTTCCTCAAGCATTTGAGGTTTAGGTGCAGATATCATGTCCCATTTCAACCACAATAAAAATACCAAATTTAAGAAATGTAACCCTGATACAATGCTACTATCCAATATACAAACCATATTCAAATCTCACCAATTATCACAATATAGTCCCTTTGTCGCATTTTTTTCCTGATCTAGGATACAACCTAGAATCATCCATTGCATTTAGTGGCTTCTTTAGTCTTTTTCAGTCTGAACAGAGCCTCAGCTGTCTTTCATAACATTGATGTCTTTCATGACATGATGTTTCCTCATGATCAGAACCAGCTTATACATTTTTGACACAAGAGGTAGCACTGTGTCTTTCTCAGTGCTTCATATCAGGAAGTACAGGATATCAGTTTGTCCCATTATTGTTTGCTTGTTTGATTGATTTATTTAGAGACAGAGTTTTGCTCTCGTTGCCCAGGCTGGAGTGCAATGGTGTGATCTTGGCTCACTGCAACCTCCACCTCCCGAGTTCAAGTGATTCTCCTGCCTCAACCTCCCAAGTAGCTGGGATTACAGGTGCCCACCACCACACCCGGCTAATTTTTTGTATTTTTAGTAGATACAAGGTTTCACCATGTTGGTCAGGCTGGTCTTGAACTCCTGACCTCGGGTGATCTGCCCACCTTGGCCTCCCAACGTGCTGGGATTACAGGCATGAGTCACCGCACCTGGCCCGACTATTGTTATTATTAACTTTGATTATTTGGTTAAGTTAGTATACTCCAGGCTTTCCCCTCCATTTTCCATTTTCCTATTAATAACCTTTGGGGAAAATGCTTTTTTTTTTTTTTTTTGAGGTTAAGAGCAGAAGTTCTTAACCAAGAAACAAAGAGACAAGCTCTCTGCAGCAGAGAGGGGTCCTAGAGAAACAGGCTGCCCTGAGGGAAATTCCTTAACAATGTAAATAATTCTGTTCCTCTTAAAATTCTCACATAACGTTCAGCATCCATGGATGAATCTTGCTTGAGTCAATTATTGCTATGACAGTTTCAAAATAATAATTTTCTAACCTCTTAGTCTGTCTATATTTTTTAGTTGCCATCATTTGTAAACTTTTTAATAATGACTAGGCTTAGAAATAATGTAACTCAAGATTTTCCACCCATTTTCAGCCAAAGTGAAGCAATTTTCTCTTACAGTCGAAGCATCTGAAATTTTGAACATTTCAAGTAACTGTTTAGCACTGGTTTCTAACCTGGACTTGTTGAGGGCCTCTACCCCTACCCATTCTCTTCCAGGACTGAGCACTGAGTGGAAATTGTTGATGGAGGAGACAGGATGAGGAGAAAGGAAATTGCAGGTTGCCAGCAAGAAGAAGGGAAGGAGTGGCTGCTGGTGGACACTGACTGCAGGGCGGGAACATCAGCCTGTGATGGAACAGGCAAAAATGACACGAGATCAGCCAGGAAGCCAGGAGCACCCAAACGGGGACAGACGTCTCCTTTTACAATAACAAATGCTCATCAATCACAGCCCCAAAGTCCCATCCATCCAAAAATTGCCCAAGATTTCCAGGGTATAATAGAGTTAGATGTTCCCAACATTGCCTAAACATGCCTGGCTGTTCCTAAGAAATTATTCTTACAAACAGACTAAAGTGACTTCAGAAATAAACACCTATAAAAGGAAGTACTAATAATGCAACAAATGCCATAAATGGAATAAAAAAAGAAAAGTAGTACTTCACTACTTTTGTGTTCTGGATGCAAAATATCTGGAATGCTTGTCACTGAGGAAATCATGAAATAGTTCAATACCCAAGTACCACCACTTTACACAACTGGGATCTCAAAGTTCCTCATGGTTTCATGATAACTTACTGAAAACCAAGGTGAAGCTCTCAAGTTCTCCTTTTCTCCTCTGGAATCTGCCCTTAAACGGCATGCTATCTAGACATAAGGACATTTTCTACTGGCTATGTTCTTTTTTGTGAACATTATAGGTTTCCAGGCAAATATTTTAAAAATATCTCCATGTTTTATATAATTTACATGCTACATTCATATAGAAGGTCTTTCTGGATTCTCTCCAGAAGTGACTGGAATAGAACACTTGGATTTCGCCTGGTTTTAGAACCAATTTTTCCCTCAAGGGGAAGTTCTGTGGGGGAGAAAAACGCAGTCAGCTAACCCCCAAAGCAATATTGTGCCCAGGTTTGATTTATCTTATCCAGGTTATGTATTCAGTTCACGGTGACAAGACAGGACTGCTAAAGTGCTCATCACTCTGTTCCCACCTGCCCCTCAGCTGTCATTTCCTCACCTGCAGAAGTAGGGAGAAGGACAGAGGAACAGTAGTTTCTGTATCACTGGAACTTGTTAGAAATGTAAATTCTCAAGATGCACCCCAGACCTACTGAATCAGAAACTCTGGGAGTGAAGTCCAGCGATCTGTTTGAATAAGCTCTCCGGGTAACTCTGATGCATGTTAAACTTTAAGACCTCATTTTTCACAGTGAGGTGAGGTGGCTCACACCTGTTATCCCAGCACTTTGGGAGACTGAGGCAGGTGATCAAGAGGTCAGGAGATCAAGACCATCCTGGCTAACACGGTGAAACCCTATCTCTACTAAAAATACAAAAATTAGCCACTGTAGTTACAGCTGCTTGGGAGGCTGAGGCAGGAGAATCACTTGAACCTGGGAGGTGGAGGTTGCAGTTAGCTGAGATCGCACCGCTACACTCCAGCCTAAACAATAGAGCAAGATTCTGTCTCAAAAACAAACAAACAAACAAAAAACCTCACTTTAAAAAATACTAATATCAGGGTACTTTTTTAAAGCTCTCTGAAGTAATTCTAATATACAACCAGGACCAAGGACCAGAGCTAACTAAAGAACTGTGTATCTGAGAGAAGCCCTGGGCTCTACAGTTTCAGAATCACCTTCATGCTAACTATCAGAAGGTTGTGGGACTTCAAGCTGCAGATGTGGTCAAGCTTTGAGAGAAATTTTTCAGGACACTGACTGAGAATAGTTTCCTTCTCTCCCTTTTGATAGTAGGAACACATAGTAAGCCTCTCGCATTACTTTTGAATAAGAACAAAGACGAAATAATGATCCTCTACACTTTGAAAACTTTTCAGATTTCTAGCTCCATCTCAGCTGAGAAAGAGCATAAGATTGAGCCTAAAAAACTGCTCAAGAGCTAAGATGGTCAAATATCATCATAATTTTTCATAAACAAAATCAATGGGCAAAAGTTTGATTCTTCAGTACAGTTGAATATACCATATAAGGAAAGAGAAGAAACATTAATCTAAATAAATTGGTATGGAAGCATCTCAGTTTATTTTTCTTGGATACTAAATGTATCATCTTAACCAAAGCATAAGAAAATAAGTAAGAGAACTAGCCAGGCACGGTGGTTCACACCTGTAATCCCAGCACTTTGGGAGGCCAAGATGGGTGGATCACCTGAAGTTAGGAGTTCGAGACCACCCTGCCCAACATGATGAAACCCCACCTCTACTAAAAATACAAAAATTAGCTAGGCATTGTGGCATGTGCCTGTAATCCCACCTACTTGGAAGACTAAGCCAGGAGAATTGCTTAAATCTGGGAGGCAGAGGTTGCAGTGAGCCATGATCACATTATTGCACTTCAGCCTGGGCAACAGAGCAAGACTTCATCTCAACTAAATAAATAAACAAACTGTCTCACTGTGTGTGTGATGCACAATTGCCAGTAGATACTTTGAACCCTTTGCCTTTGTTTTTCCTGAATAATACAGTAAGGCCAAATCTCATGATCTCCTTCTTTGTTGAGTCTTACTTTGTTAAGTAAAGCCTCAACCATAATTTTTTTTCTAAACACACACACATATGTTACATATCAGATGATGGCAAAGCAGCAGAGAGATGGCAACCACCGTTTACTGAAGGTCACCTGTGTGCCCATCACTTGTAAGAGCTATGAATGACAGCCCTGTCCTAATTTAGAGAAACTGAGGCCAATGCCATGGTCCCACTGCTAGTGAATTCTGGAGAAATAAAATACAGATCTGTTCGACTACAAAAACTCCTCTCTGCACTACCCTAAAGCTGTGTTCTTGGCTGGGATAATCGTTTACAGGAAAAATAAATTATTGCAGAAATGTTAACATCTCATTTTCCCATCTCTCTTCCTCCTCACCTCTCAAAAAATACCTCTCAAAGGGCCTCTGTAGCCAGCACACCACTCACCCTTTTGTTTTTTCCTCTGTGGCCCAGACTGGAATCCAATGGCAGGATCCTAGCTCACCGCAGCCTCAAGCTCCTGGACTCCAGTGATCCTCCAGCCTCAGCCTCCCAAAGTGCTGGGATTACAGGCCTGAGACACCACATCCAGCCCATTCACTCATCTAATGAAGTCCCTAACATGCGCCAAGCCTATGCTAGTGACTTTGGATGCTAGGTATAAGGCAGGTATGACCCGGTTTTACCCTGAACTCCCTTTGAGGCTCCACTAATACGTATCTGGCTTCAGATGCAACTAACTTAACCAGTTTTCATAGACCGGATTCCAATTTCTAAAGGCACTGAGCCAGAAAAGCATTGGTGCCAAGATGCCAAAAGCAGGCCAACCCAGCGCCTTCCAACGCTTCCATTCAGAGTTTCCACCTGATGTCTTCAGGCACTCCTCCCATCGACTGACCATGGTAAGCAAATGCGGTCTCCAGCCGGCCCTGTGCTGCCCGCAGCGAACACAGCTCGTGGGCCACTGGGCAGCCAAGCGCTGCAAACCACCCTGATCCCAGGAAGGCAGACGCACAAACCCGATCCAGGGCTCGAGGCGAACCTTGAACTCACAGCGCCAAAAACGCGCGGTGCCTTCGTTTGCCCGGCTTCCTGAAGGCTGGCTCTGGGCCTGGGGGCAGTGCCCGCGAAGGGCTGCGATGGCAGGCCCCGCTGCTCCACGGCATCAAGGGTCCCCTATGCCTTGGCTCCTGGCGCACACCCTTCTGCCACATCCCTCGCGGGGCGGGCCGCCAGGGCCACCTGCCCTTCCAAGCCCTGCCAGGCAGCCAAGGGTGATAAGCCGTGGGGGACCCGGCCGCTGCTCCCGCGAGCCAGCACAAAGGCAGCGTCTGAAAGCCGAGAACTTCCCACCCTGGGCGCCGCGGCCTCCCCCGACCCCCGGGCTTCCGCGGCGGAGCGCACTCACTGTCAGTCGCCATGGTCTGACGAGGGGCTGCCGGGCGGCTGCCCAGGCTGGGGGAACCGGCGCCGAGCCCGGCCGGGCGCGAGCTCCTCTGCAGGCCCGGTGCGCTCGGGGGCCGCGCCGCGCACAGCCCCTCCCGCCGCGCGCCCCCGCCGCGCCGCCCCGCGCCCCGCAGCCGCCAGCCCCGCGGCCGCCGCCGGCGTCCCGAGAGCCCAGCCTCCCGGGCAGAGCGGCCGAGCTACGGCGCCCGGCGGCTGGATCTCCCCTTCCTCGCCTCGCCGAGTCCGTCCCCGACCTCTCCTTTTCCTTCCCGCCCCTCCCCCAAAGACAATGCTCACAGCAACTTGGAAACACGCTCACGGCCACGCCGGGGTCGCCTCTCCAAGCCATCTTTCCTACAACGTTCCCGCTACATTCTTGTGTTCGTGTCACCTTTCCCATTCTCCGCTTCATCCCTAACCTGGAGCTTCTCACCAGCCAGGTTGGAACCCCACGCCCAGCCCCAGCTGCAAGGAGCAAAGCCGAAAGAGCTGGGCGTGTGGGGAGGATGAGCCAGGTGCTGGGCATTAGTCCTCCCGGGCAGGAGCTCTCCTGCGAAACCGCTCAACGCCATCCCCATAGGCTCCAAGGGGTCTGTGCTCTTCATGTCACTCTGTTTTGTCTCCAATGTGAAAATAGCTCCCGACACATAGTAGGCTCTCAGCACATTTCTATTGAGTGGGTGAATGGATGACTTTATAACTGGATGCCTGCATGAATGAATGAATGAATAAATGGCCAACTAACTGATTAGATGTCCACTGGATGAGCAACTGACACATGACCATAGCCAACCACAGCCCTGCCTCTGACTAGGGATGGACCCTAGAGTAAGTGGACCAGGCCGAATGAGTGAGCAGGAGTCTTGGGCCTCACAGTTCATTGTGGTTCAGGAGGGCTCTGAACTGAGGCTGTCTGTGAATGTTGTATACACCTTCTCGAAGTCCAAAAAAAAACAATTTGTGATGGATTATTGGGTTATTCTGCCACTAACAGTAATGGCAGAAAGCACAATTACTTTTGCACCAACCTAATATATTAGGGGACAGTGGTACATTAGAAACCCCCATCTCCACCACCAGATTCATCATGTGAAGGATCAAATGGCTCAAATACATGTCCTAAATTACATGGCAGGCTGGATACTTCTTAAAGATACAATCCATTTCGCCCCAGCATGGTGACTTAAGCCTGTAATGGGAGGTCAAAGTGGGAGGAGGATCACTTGAGCCTGGGAGTTCAAGGCTGCAGTGAACTATGATTGCACCACTGCACTCCAGCCTGGGTGAAAGAGCAAGACCCTGTGCCTAGTTTTTAAAAGAAGAAAAAGGTAGGGCACAGTGGCTCACACCTGTAATCCCAGCACTTTGGGAGGCCAAGACGGGTGGATCATGAGGTCAGGAGTTCGAGACCAGCCTGGCCAACATGGTGAAACCCCATCTCTACTAAAAATACAAACATTAGCTGAGCATGGTGGCAGGCGGCTGTAATCCCAGCTACTTGGGAGGCCGAGGCAGGAGAATTGCTTGAACCAGGACCCGGGAGGTGGAGGTTGCTGTGAGCCCAGATGGAGCCACTGCACTCCAGCCTGGGCTACAGAGTGAGACTCCATCAGAAGAAGAAGAAGGAGAAGAAGAAGAAGGAGGAGAAGGAGGAGGAGGAGGAGGAGGAGGGAGGAGGAGGAGGAGGAGGAAGAGGACCAGGTTCAGGGTTCATGCCTGTAATCCCAGCACTTTGGATGGTCTAGGCAAGTGAATGGCTTGAGCCCAAGAGTTTGAGATCCTCAGGCATACGATGTGGTCTCAAGTTTCTCTATAATATAGAACCTGAGCTTTGTTGTCAAGAAGGAAGTGAAAAAGGTGGGTTTGAGGATCTAAGAGCGTGGAAGAAGTTTTAAGGTGCTTCTATTAGGAGGGTGAGAGGAAATGAAAGGGATGAATAGGTGAGAAGAACTTCCGGCCAGTAGTGGAGGCCCTCCTGGAGTTAGATCCCAGAAGTGCAGAAGGCAAGGCAGCCATAGTAAGACACTGTCTCTAGAAAAAATGAAACAAAATTAGCCAGGCATGGTGGTGCATGCCTGTGGTCCCAGCTACTCAGTAAGCTGAGGGGGAGGATCACTTGAGGCTGGGAGGTCAAGGCTGCGGTGAGCTGAGATCATGCCACTGCACTCCAGCCTGGGTGACAGAATGAGACCCTGTCTTAAAAAATAATAAAATAAAAATGCAAAGATACAATTCATTCAATGCACTTGGAGATGCACATTCAACCAAATCAGTAGGTATCACCCCAGCACCAGGCTGGTTGCTAAAAAGACTCAGGAGCAAGGGATGGTCAGAAGCAGCTCCCATGTGGCTAGGCAGACAGGAAACTGCCAGAGAAGAGCATAGGAGTCCCCTCTGGTCAGTTCACAGAGCACGATGAGGGAGAGGATATTCTGATCGGGCTCCACATTCTGATTCAGTCCACCTGGAGTAGGGCTTAGGCGTATCCTTTTTTAAATTGTGTTTAGCCTTTGTTTTAACACAGGTGATTCTGAAGCACCTTTGTAGTTAAGAACCAGAGACCTGGTTCATTTGTCTATTCCCAAAAGCCAACACTCTTGAAATGGGTTGGATGGGGAAAAGGAAAAATTAAAAGATGACCCTGGAGTCTTGAGTCTATCTGTAGCTCACAAACCAGGAGGTTAAGCTGGTGTGAGGGCAAAGAGGGTGGGTTGGGTTTGGATTCAGTTGAAGGGTCAGTGGAATATGTGTGAGGCTCCTTATTCATTAATCAAACTGGCTTTTCCAAATGAGAAAAAAGAATGACAGTTCAAAGTATATGTTCAATAAATGTTTTCTGAATAATGGACCTGTTGGATAGCAGGTTTGCATAGCACTAGATGTCAGATGAGAAGGGGTTACTGAGCAAGTAGATTTCACCAAAGCAGAGTTCCTAAGCATAGGTAATTCTCTTAAAAAGTTTATTGGTGGCCGGGCACGGTGGCTCATGCCTATAATCCCAGCACCTTGGGAGGCCAAGGCGGGTGGATCACGAGGTCAAGAGATCGAGACCATCCTGGTCAACAAGGTGAAACCCTGTCTCTACTAAAAATACAAAAATTCGCTGGGCATGGTGGTGTGTGCCTGTAGTCCCAGCTACTCAGGAGGCTGAGGCAGGAGAATTGCTTGAACCCAGAAGGCAGAGGTTGCGGTGAGCCGAGATTGTGCCATTGCACTCCAGTCTGGGTAACAACAGTGAAACTCTGTCTCAAAAAAAACAAAAAAAGTTTATTGGTGAAGGAATAAAAGAGGATGGAGAACTTTGGAAGAGAGCAGGATCAAGATAAGATGGGTTTTGTTTTAAGATAGATTTCTGGACACATATTCAAGTATTTAATATATAAAAGAAGAAATTTTCACTTTATAACTAAATTAACTTCTTGGCCCAAGCCCCTATTCCACTGTTAGGGAGTTTGATTTTACTCAGTTTAAGGTAAACTCCATTTCAGGCTTTTCTCAGGCAATTCAAAGTTTTCCTTCCCCATTTTTTCGTGAGGTTGCATCTATGGTTGGAAGGACAGGTTAGGTAGCAACAGAAATATTAAGAGGTATCAGGCCCTATCTGTCCTATTAGGATGTACCTCTTCCTTCTGGACCTCAGAGTTCATCAGACCTCCAAGCCAGGAGTATGGATGGCAGCCACCACTCTGTTCTCTCCTCCACACCAAAGCCCCTTCAGGTCTTTTTCTCCCTGACTTTCCTGTTGCTTTGGAGAGGAAAAGTTTGGCTATTCGTCCATTCTATTCTGAGGCAACAATGAGCTCTCTGGAGTCTCAGGCCTTTTCTTACAAGTTACACAACCATTTCTTATGATTCCCTTACCATGGGGTGGAGGGGAGCTCTGCATGATGGACCACCAACCAAGACATTTAATGTGACATGAGACAAAGGTCCCCCAGCCTATCTGGAAGTTCTACCACCTCCCTTCCAATGCCTGGCAATGGGATGTTTTTCTAAGAAGGAGTATAGGATGTTTTCAGCTCCATGTAACTGCATAAGCGTGGCTTAAACAATAGCACACCTTGTTATCTATCAAGGGATCCAAAGGTGGGTGGTCCCATGGTTGGTTTAGCACCTCCACAACGCCCATGAGAACTCAGACTCCCCATCTTCCTCCTCGGCCATAGGAAGGCTGCTGCAGGACAAAATCTCCCAAAGCCAGTCGGGGAGGGGTATATTCCTCCTTGTCTCTCTCTCTTTCTTTTTTTTCTTTTTGTAACAGAATCTCACTCTGTCTCCCAGGCTGGAGTACAGTGGTGCAATCTCCACCTCCTGAGTTCAAGCATTTCTCCTGCCTCAGCCTCCTGAATACCTGGGATTACAGGCACCTGCCACCATGCCCAGCTAATTTTCATATTTTTAGTAGAAACGGGGTTTCACTATGTTGGCCAGGCTGGTCTCAAACTCCTGACCTCAAGTAATCCACCTGCCTTGGCATCCCAAAGTGCTGGGGTTACAGGCATGAGCCACCATGCCCAGCCTTGTCTCTCTGTTTTTATCAGAGAAGGAAATATTTGTAAAAGCCCTCAAAGGCCTTCTCCACCATGCTAGAGGCACTGGAAGCTGGGAACAAAAACATCTGTTATTTTCAGCTTTCATGGCTTGAAGTGGATTCTGACAACAAGGAAGAAGGCAGGGGAATGACTGCCAGGCCCACCATCAATGTCTGCCATCATCTTCTCACACCCGGCAGATTTTCACCCCACTGCTGTCCTTTATGACCCTTTCCCTCCCCATGGCTAAGGAAACCTATCTCCTAACAGGCTGCAAAACTCACTCTTGAAACATCCTGCTTCCTTGCAAATCTCTTTGTCTTACACTTGGACCTTCGCTTTTGAAATTGAAAAGCCAAGATTATGGCTCTTTTGGTTGCCTCCACACCTAAGGCCAGAGATGGTAAAGTCTACTTAAAAACAGGGAGACCCATGTGATACATGAAATTATGTAACAGGAAGGAAAAATGCATAACTCCATAGCAAGCTAGGATTTCTTCAGTGCACTTAAAACGTGAGAGGAAAGAGCCACTGAAGAAGAGGAAAGATCTAAAATGCAAAGAAAGGGCCAGGCACAGTGGCTCATGCCTGTAATCCCAGCACTTTGGGAGGACATGGAGGGCAGATCACCTGAGGTCAGGAGTTCGAGACCAGCCTGACCAACATAGTGAAACCCCATCCCTATACTAAAACCACAAAAATTGCCTGGCTATG